TGTAAAACCTTGACGGCTGGGAGGATTATTTATTTTCTTCGCTACGATGTCTGACGTGCGAAGTGAAGACAAACCTGGATCTGACTTTGCCCTTACTGAGCCGTTCTTGGTGTCCCCTAATGCTCGAAGTACACACTCGAGGGCTCTGGGCGTGCTGCATCGCCACGAAGGTGTGTGACACGCGACTGGCACTCTGAAACAGCACCGTGTGCTTTTAGCCGTCGTTTCTGTAGGACAAGTGCTCTGAAGCAGTTTCGTCTTTGGCTTGTGTTCAGGCTGCGACTTGCACCTCCCGGAGCGATCCAGCAGCAATGCTGGATCTGTGGCCTTGCACTGCTCTCAGCAAGAGGTCCAAGTTGCAAGCACAGTTCGGAGTTTACCGCCATCAAGACCTGCGCCTCATCAGTCACACACAGTAGAGTTGTAAGCGTTCAAAGCTTTTTTGTGTTAGCCAACGAGGTGAAATTTCGCCAGAAGGTGTCAAAGATTGTCAAAGCACTTTCTTCAAGATGCACTTCCTAAACCACTCCACCGCCCTTGCAAACTAACTCGGACAGATGCAAACAAGAGTCGAGTGACCTCGAAGGCTGCACAGAATCGCTCGACCCACGTGACGGGGACAGCACGATGATCGCATGTCACATTCTACATGTTTGTGTGGCACGTTCGACCTCACAGCCTCATTTGATGGTTCCATTTCCGCTTGGCGAACATTCCTCAGATACTTGGCTTCAAATTTCGGAGCGTTTTCATGTTACCCCGGGCGTTGAGTTGCAGAACATCGCGCCTCACGTAACGTGGTAACCGCGTTTTCCAAAACCTGACCAAGGATAATGAGCCATGCCCACTGGCCGCCACTGGCCGCACTGCGGCAGGATGCACTCGACTACACGTATCGAAACAGGATGCGCGCATCAACAGCACAGAGCATCAGGTCAATGGACAGCAGTCTTAAAGGCCGGAAAACTTTCAATCTCCGAGCCCACGGCAAAAGAAGAGTCTTGCATGTGTATGCTGTTCTTGGCTTGTCCTCCAAGGTGGCTCGCTTCTCACAGTGCGCTTGTTTACGGTCTATCCCCAGACGGTGCCGGTATCCTTCGAGCTTCCTGGCTGTGTTTTGGTTGTGGCTGGTGTTGACTTATCTGCCACGGTCTGAGGAACGCCTGGCTTGCCGAGATGTGGTCACCCGGGGCCAGAGCCTGTTCAGGGCATCTACAAGCGCAGAAAGGGCGGGATGGCTTCACAACTGGCGTGCTCAGGTTGACGATCAAACAGCGTCGCGTGCTCAATCGTGCTGATCTGCTGTCAGCATCTCTGCGTTTTCAGGCTTTGTCTCTCACTCCCTGTCTCCCTCTGGAATTAGTGCCGATGGCGGGTAGGTGCTGCTGACAACCGCTGATAGAAGGAAGCATGGACCCGAACCCAAACCCCGTGGCACTGCCGTGACTAAGGAGCGGGCGCAGCAAGCTAAACGTTCCTGTTCTTTTAAAACTCAGATTTTCAGATATCTCAGATTTCGGGTCAGTGTGGCCGTGCCGAGGCAAGCCGAGGCATGCAGACCGGGCTTCACATCATGCTTGGGAGGAGTTCGATCACTGTTCGGCCCGCTGTGTGTGATCATGTGTCGTATAGGCAGCTATAGGCTATTGCGTTTCGTTTTGCAACAGATCACCAAAGCTAGGTCTTCACGAACTTACTTATGGGAACCTGTCGAGTATCAACGCAAGCTCAGCGGCACCCCTGCTGAGAACAATGGTCGCATAACGCTCGTAGATCGATCGATTGCACTGTGCATGCGAGACGAGGGATGCAAGCAAGTGAGACAACTGCTTGGCCAGGCAGTTTAGTGCGGAGTTAGTTGCTTGCGGCTGTGTTTCACAGTGCTTCAGGAAGTTCTATTCTCGCGGTTGTTGTTGGGCGGCTGCGACCTGACGCAAAACTGTTACAACTATCGGGGTGCGGATTTGCCACCTATTTGATCTTTGGTATGAAATGATCAGTTGAAAATATTCTATACTTTTCGTCTTTGATTTCATGATTTCGAACTGATTCTTAGCTCTGAACCTTTCCTCCCTCCACCATGCGAGCAATCTGCATAAGGGCGAAGCAGCTCTTTTCAGGCTTTGCAAGACACGCTCTTCATGCGTTGTGTTTGGATGTTTTAAGATGACTGTCCGAGCAACCTTGTCCGACTCCTGCCCTTTCTCTTCCTGTCTTCAGACTGTCTTCAAGGGGTGTTGGACTACAAGAGATTGCACGGTACAGAACGGAATGTCTTGAACGTTCGTTTCTGAGCCAACCTCGCGGTCATTGGCAAATCTCCCACCTAGCCACAGCTCACAGGCAACGCCGTACAAACCAAAAGCTGTAGCTTAAGCCCTCCTGAAGTGGGACCTGGGCCGTCGCCAACTGCTTGCTAATACCTGAAACAAACATGTGTACAAAACTAGACCTCGAGAGTTGACAACAGCTAGATAGCACGATTTCTGAGGCCTACAATGACAAGTGCGGGAATCTACCAGGGGCGACTTGGCTGAAACGGCCATGACTGGGGGCGTATGCACGCTGAAGAGCACAGAGTTGGGTAGCCAAGGTGGCAGTTTGAGACGGTCTGAATCTTGGTGCTTTTGCATGTAGGGATTGCAACGACTCTCTTGTTTGTGGGATGGGGATGCAAAGACCCGCACAATCACGTGTCTCGTGCTTGCTGGTGGTCAGCTTTCTCTTGGAAGCAAGCAGTGCCGAGGTGATGCAGGATCCCCGCGTTGTTTTGGGAACCGGCCCCACTCGAGCTGGCGCTGTTGGCGGCGCTTGGTGCCCAGATCTGCAGTGCTAAAGCAGACGGCAACTTTCGCAGAGATCGAGGTGCTCCAAATTGCCTTCGTGCCAGCAAACGCGGCTGGACGCTCAAGCAAAGCCTCTTTTAAGCTGTCCTGGGCTCTTTGCCCCGAGAGTTGATCCATCGCAGCCTTGTTTCGAGACCAAGAGTGCTCATAGAGCAGATTTGTGAGCATCAGTGCATCCGAGCGATTGTTGTGCTGCTTGTCGCGAGTTAGAGATGAGAGTTGCCACCCTTCGTTTTGCTCGGCAACCGCGATAGAGTCAGGCGGGTGTTACAGCTGCTAGCTGCTAGAGTCGGCATCATTTGTGCTGTTGAAACACGAGGGCTAGTGCAAGCTTGCTGCAGCTGGGGCTGGCCACATGCACAAAGGCCAGCAAGCTGATCCTGACAGCGGTGAGTCCCAGTGGTTGGGACTTTCAGGCAGGTCGGACAAGAACGAATTGATACGGCTCAGCTGGATGTTGGTCTTATGCAGGCTGTGGACGTCTGTGAAAGTGTTGACGAGGCAGGGTGCCCGTCATCCGCACCCCGCCATCCCCGGCCATCTTGGGGGAGAACCGAAGGCGGTGGTCTGTGTGAGGGCATCGGCATCCGCGAACTCGCCGAATGCCAGAGGCCCAGCGAGGCCCAGCGAGGCCCAGCTCGACTGTCGTGGCACCCGTGGGCCTGGTCTGAGGTGCTGATACTGGACAATATCTCCATCAAGGCGCCTGCACAGCTTGGATGTCATTATTTGCAGCATGTGTTTGCATGAGTTGTGTTTTTTTGAAGTTGATAGCGCCATGCCGGTCAGCCTGGCGAGCCCTACTTGTATGTCACATGTCGAAGCTTCGCTCGGGATGCGGAACCCAGGGATCGATAAAACCGTGAAGCATCTAACACCTGGTTGAGGGGGTGAGCATGTCCTGAGCCATCCAGTCTCTCAAGTCCCCAAGCAATGCAATGACACTTGTGAAGTACAGCATGTTTCTGCGGTCAGCCAGCCGAGAGCACACCTCGCATTCGTGCCAACACGCCATGGATGCAACGGTCGTTCGATGGTTCCCCGAGTTTAGTAAAAACTAAAGCACATGCTTCCAAAACGGCAAATCATCTGCCCGGAAGGCACAGGTCCTTTTCCAGAGAGAGCTCCGGAACGCCCGGACCTTAAAGTCTTCGGCCGTGTGGAGGCGGCATTGTCTGTGCTGCTTTGCATGAGCATAGCTGGCATAGCTTCTAGTTCGACAGCGCTGGACCTGCTTCCAGCATGCCGGGGGACTCCAGCATGGTGCATGCTAGCGGTCTCGCATGAGAACTCTTTCGCATCACCGCATTATCTGCGTGACCTGCACATGCTGATAGTTCGTGTGAATCTGTGCAGAGGAGCATTGTTGCCTCTGCTGTTTCTAATCCTTGTGTGTCAGAGACGACGGCACTGGCAAGTAAGCGCAGCACAGCTACCAGATCCTTGCGTTGCAGTCGTGCTAGCACCCACAAGCGCTCCCTCCCCTCCCCTCTTCCCTATCACCTCCCCTCCTCTCCCTCGCCTCCCTCCCTCCCTCGCTCGCTCGCTCAGTCAGTCAGTCAGTCAGTCAGTCAGTCAGTCAGTCAGTCAGTAAGTCAGTCAGTCAGTAAGTCAGTGAGTCAGCCAGAGGCAATCTGTCAGTCAATTAGCCAGTCAATCAATCAATCCACCAATCAAGCAATCAACCAATCAAGCAATCAATCACTCACTCAATCAATCAATCATGAATCAATGAATTAGCCAAGTGCTGCCCTCTTGTCGCGAGATTTTGGGACCTCTGTCAGGTAAGGCTAGCCAGCGGCCGTAACCTCGGACCTCTGCGTTCGACGTATTCGCGCGGGTGAGGTGCCTGGCATGTTGACATTGGTCTGCTGAGGTGGGGGAATCGCCAGATTCGAGCTTGCAACCTTTGCCCTTGGACAGATGGGAAACGAGGTCCCCTGACGTTGTTTGGACTAGTGGAGACTGTTCTTGCCTTGTCGCTTGCACATCTGAGGTCGCTGCAGACTCCAGTGGTTCCTTGGTGAGTTCCCCAGTCCAGTCCCGCAGTCTGACCGGAGACCGGAGTGAGATCTTGTCTCGGGGCCTTTCAGGCCGCGTGGCGACTTCCAGGAGCCCTGGAGGCACGCGCCGAATTGTGCACAAGGACAGGGCTTCACATTGCTCCGCACTGCGAGCCTGAGGTGAGCGCGCTGCAGCTTGGAACCTACCAGAGTATCGTGCAGCCAGCCCGTCTTTGCGAGTTGCGAACAAAGAGAACCAGAGAAGGTTTCCGATGCTTCTGCACGAAAGTTGCAGCAATCCTGTCGGTTGTTATGCACACAACCTCAGAGAAGAAATGTTCGCATGCACAACACTTGCAGCAAACAGGATGAGACAAATTTGTCCGATGGTCATGCACGCATGCACACCAAGTATTTAGAGCATTGTGCGTACCAGCGTGTTTGGGTCGCAGATCGTACGCCAAAACAGGGTCGCGGATATCCCAGAGCGTCCGCATCAGGACACAGGAGGAGGTCGGGAAACGGGCGGGGTCGGATCAGGAAGATCAGGACACACCCTCCAATCGTTGAGGATTCAGGGGTTTAGGGATTTTCGGTTTATATAAGGGTTTGGGGATTCGGGGTTTAGGGGCTTAGGGGTTTAGTTTAGGGGTTTGGGGGTTTGGTTTACTAAGGGGGGGTTTAGGGGTTAAAGGGGTTTTTGATGGTTTCTGGGTTCAGGGTTTAGGGGTTTAGAGGTTTTGGGGTTTTGGTTTACCAGGGGGTTTAGGGGTTTAAGGGGTTTTGGGGTTCAGGGTTTTGGGGTTTAGGGGTTAGGGACTTCGGGGTTTAGGGAGGCCCATGCCCCTTTCGCTCCCTCCCTTTCTTCTCACAGCAAATGGCTCGCAGTGTCGACGAGCAAGCCAGTTCTACGTGCAGTCTCCAGTCGACTTTATGGTCTTCATGGTCTTCGCAGAGTGCTTGCCCTGCTGATTCGCTCGACCCCGAGCATCCAAGTATATTTGTTCACGAGCTGGATCAAACCTTCTCCCGTTAGGGAGTGCGGCCTACGACAAAGAGAAAACTATGCCAAGCTCCTGCTGTTCCAGCCTACGACGTGATCCTCTGCATTGCGAGCTGCTTTCTCACTCTGGATGCTTCGCTGAAAATAGAGCCGCTTGAATTTTCATATGTTTGGCTGTGCCGCTGCTGGTAGTTGATGCCTCCGAGAGGTGGGCCGGGAAGCTGCCACCGATCACTTACGTTACAGGCACTTACCATATTAATTCCATTCCCCATCCCAAGTTGTGAATGACAGCTGTTCCGCTAGTGGCCCGAGGTATCTGAATATGCCACATGTCGTTCTTGTTGACAGGGGTTGGGCTTCAAATCATGCCATTTGCCACTATGCATATTCACAACTACACCCGTCAGATGAGGGTTTCGGCTATGTTGGTCTCAGCCCAGCTGTAGTGGGAAATCCGGATCAAGTAAGAAACCCTGCGTGCACACATCAGATGCCAGTTGCAGCATCAGCACTTTCCCGGGCGAGACCACAATTCACTCAATAGGCCATCCCACGCACACGGAGGAGGCGCCGGCCGTAGCCGCCGCAAGCCCCTCACGACCCCAACACGAGACCCGCCCAAAGGAAAGCCGTGAAAAACCATCAAAACCCAGAACCCCGAACTAGCAGCCTTCCTTAGCCCCCCAAGCTTGACCGGGGGTTCCGACCGCACCTGCCTGGCCTGGGCCACAGCGGCTGGGTGAAGGGGTTTACAGGTTTCGGGTTTGGGTTTGGGGGTTCGGGGGTCTAGGGGTTTCGGGGTTGAGGGGTGTTGGGTTTCGGGGTTTACGGGGTTAGGGTTTTGGGGCTTTAGGGTTTAAGGGTTTAGGGTTTGGGGATTTTCAAGGGTTTGGGGTTTGTGGTTAGGATGGTTGGGTCTGGATGCTCCACCGTGTGGTTGGGATGGGTGGGCTCAGCGGTTGGGATCCTTCGGGTTTTGACGCTCCGTATGGCGGTGGTTGGAGTCCGGATGGTTCGGGTCGGCGGTTGGGATGGCTGGGGTGGTTGGCATGGCTAGGGGTCTGGCGGGGTGGTTGGGGGTGGGAGGGATCACGCGAGCCTGCATCAGCGTCCGTCGTGATCCGACCTTTTTCCGAAATCTGATCCCAGACCACGCCTGCGTCCTGATCTGACCTGCTGTGCGCTGATAGGTGCCGCAGCCAAGTATCGAACATGTGGGCCTGCGCACAAGCCCCGACAGATACCAATGCCGAGCTACGAAACAGGTCGAGATGCACACCTTGCAAAAAAAAACGGCTCGGCGAACGAGTGACTTTTCTCCGGCGTGTGCTTGTGCGCGTCGCCACCCGCTTACTTGTAGGCGAGCCGAAACCTCAGGCCTGCCGAAGCCTAACTTCCTTGCACTTTTGATTTCTGCCAGGTCCGAGACACGGGCGACACCATCTTCCAACAGCTCCCTCCAAGACTACTTTTGCGTGAGACGGTGCTTGCCTGAGGTCATTCTGAGCCCAGAACGGCATATGTTTTCTGAGCAGGTCTTGATCATCCATTTCAGTGTGACGCAGGCAAGGAAGCGGAGAGTGGCGGATAATTATTGAAAAGATATGCTGAATGCTGCCCAAACCCGATCACACCTAATTCTTTGCAAAGCTGCCAACACACTATATCGAAACCCGTGCCGCCGGTCTGCTGTCGAGGCGTGTTTTTCAGGAGACATTCTGTCTCTGGAAGACCCCACAGGAACCTTCGAGATGTTCCAGGACTCCCACGCCACCACAGCAGCGGCAGTAGTGAAGCTGGCAAATCTGCGACATCTTGGAATTTGTCACTTTCAGGAGAATGCCACGATCAAGCAGGTCGGCAATGGATTCATGCTGCTGGCTCAGCCTTGGATTCCAAATTGGTGGTGCTCCCGGCCATTGCCACGAGTGCACTCCGATGTTGATTTTCCTTTGCACGGTGCATTCGCCCTTGGTCGCCGCAACTCTCCTTCAACACATGCACAAAGCATCACAAAGCTGACACAACTGTTTTGAAGATGAAGTTCGATCAGAAAGAGCCACTGAAGAGGATCTGTTTCCACTCGCCCGGGACCATGGAGCAGCTTCACCGCTTTGCTGCATCCCTCGTGGACGCCAGGAACAGAAGCAGTATCATGCAGTAGCAAGATGTGTTATCTTTCCCTTTTTACTGGCCTTGGATTGCTCTCGTCATTTTGCTTTGAGCGAAAGGAGCGCGCAGCCCTTGGTGGAAAATGCTTGCGCATCCCGAGCAAACAGGGATAGCTGGACCTACAGCACCCTGGCACAAGCACCAAATGCAATCTAGACGCGGCATTTCTTGGCACCAACGGCTGACCAATCGGAGCCTGCGTGTCAAGTCTCACGTGCTGCCCTCGTGTGACGCTCCAGGCGTTTTCTGCAGGGAGGTTTGCGTGGCTGAGTCGGAAGATCCAGATGCAACCTTTGTCCCATCGATTGACTGGCCGCTCTATGTGACGCTTAAAGAGGCCAGGAGCTGGTGGATGCTTTGCTTGCCGTTCAAATTTAGTCGGATGTCTCGAGACTTTTTGCTTAGCTCTCACCCTGGCGATTTTTGGCATACACCTGCAGCCTGCAGGCAAGAGCAGAGGACCTACTGCAAGCGAACCCAAATGCTGTCATAACCTCATATTCCGAGTGGCGCTCTAAGTTCAATGAAGGACAGCATCTTGCTAGCAGTGCTATGTCGTTGGGGTGCTCTTGATCTGATTCATCGTTCGTTGCCGCGGGCCCAGGTACTTGACCCTGCTCTTTTACCACGCCTTCCTCCTCCTGGAAGTCGAAGGCCGCTGCCGGACTTCGCGCTCGTCCGCCCTCTCCTCTGCCGTGTCGATGTTCGCTTCTCCGCAAGGCGGCCTCGGGATTTGGACGGAGAAGTACAACGACAAGCTGGAGCTCATGTATGGCGAGCTCGAGACGCTCCGTGCTTTCGGGCAAGGCCATCGCGCCACAGGCCGGCGGAGGCAAAGCTTCCATTGCATCCTCGGACTATCTCGGACTCCGTCACTCCGCTTCACTCAGGCGAGCTACGAAAGCCAAGCTTGCAGCATTCCCAAGTCACGCTTGATGCTTGCGTGACGCTGCAAGACCTGGTCGACTGGATCTGCGGCCCTTTAGCTATTGTCTGGCGCCCTTATTGCTTGATCAACAGCACCATGGACCAAAACACAGACCTGAGGCCTCGTAGAGCAATAGAGAGCGACACATGCGGATCCTGAAGGCAACTGCCAACACTATGCCCGAGACTTGATTCAGTTCCTTCATGACAAGCGACTGGCCGAGAACTTGAAATCCGATCGCGAGGCCTGAGCTGGAATTGGAGTGTAGCTTTCTCAGCCATGGTTCTTGTTTTGCAGGTGGTACTGTCTGCAGTTCAGTCAGAAGGTTGCCGGCTGCAGCATGCGACTGAGAGGCTTAAGGAGCACATTTGATGCAGTGCAAGGACAGTGGTGGCCGATGTCAGAAGTGCAACTTGCGAGGATGATCGTGCGCTTGTCCTTGCTGCTGTCTCTTCAGATGGAGCAGCTCTCGCTTTCGCTTCCAAGCGACTGCACCTTGGCATGCGCAGCAGAAAGCAGTCTCCACCTTTGTTGAGATGTTTTCATTGAGAATTCACGCGAGGAGATGTGACAAGGGACTGGCTTTGGCAGCGGTGACAAAGTGTGGGGCTGCCTTGCAGTTCTGCGCAGCTTTTCTCCATGAAGATGAAGACATCGTTGGGTCCTAAGTTTTCGCTAAGCCATGCCAGTTACTTAAGCGAATGGTCGTGATCTTGCCGTTGCCCGCAGCAAACCGAGGTCTTCGCGGCGGTTGGCCAAGACGCCACAGCGTTGCGATTTGCACCCCACTTTCAATGGTGCATGATTTGCTGTGCACCATTGCCAACCTTAAGTTTGAGAGCTTCCAGCTTCGGGTTGGTCTCAGTCCCTCAGACACTCTGCGACATTCATGGATTTGTAGACATCTTCTGCATGACCGAGGCATCTACTGAGATGAAATGCAATCCCTGTGTTATCATTGCAGCTGCAACAGACGTGTCCGGTGTCATCGATTGGTCTCGCATCTTTACCTGTCCCTTGGTACAAACTGCTGTCCGTGTGTCTGTTGGAACCTATGTCATTGTTTGTTTGCAATGCTTCGGACTGTTCTGATTCAAAGGTTCCGCGCTTACAGAAGATGTCGATGTGGCTGCAACTGCCATCGGACCGGAACCAAGCGTGCGAGCCACCCAGGAAGGCGGGGGCTGGATGCCTTTGTTCAGGATTGGACTGGCGAGCTGGTGAATGGGTATCAGACGGTCTCCGCTCCGACGCTCACTTCATGAAGCGTGCCGTGCTTTGGACCGCCTTTCGGTAAGCAGGGGTTAGATACGCTGGTTATGTCGGTCTTTTCCCTCGACGTCATGCCGAGGGCAGCAGGAGGTCCACAGTGCTGCAGCCAACAAAAACAGTTGTGGATACGCCGTAACGCAGATTAGAGCGGTGTGTTTGCAATTATCGTGAATGCATTCGTGTGTTTTTTCGGCCATCAGTCGATCGTTCCCATCTTTGATACATACATAACATCGCTGTTGGCGAAGCCAGAAACCGCATATGTTCGTTTTGCACGTGTTTGCAAAGCATAAACGTTAACTCTGTCAGTGTCTGTGTTGGGCTTGCCGAATCAGCGCAACTTAGATCCATGCAGGTGCTTCTCAACGGTCTGGTGCTACAGCTTGTGCCGGAGAATGTCCGGCAGCACGCAACAGTGCTCCGTGCCGTGCACCAGAACGGCCTCTCGCTCCAGCCGCAGCCCCGGCCGATCAGAAAGGCGGTGTGCGCTTCCAAGCGGGGCTCGGATTCCAGCAACATCAGGATTTCAGGATAGCACAGATTCCAAAACATTTACTGGTTCGTGCTATTGACTCGTCGTCAAAGGTTCTCTTTTTAAGCACTGTTCCGGAACTTGGCGGGATCGAACGTACACACGGATTTTTGTTGAAGGTGCGGGAGGGGAAAGATAAACGGCGGACCTTTATCCTGAATCACTGGTCAGCCTTGTGCTGACTTAGCAGGGTTCGTGAGAGCCAAACGCTTGATGGTCGGATGGCCTCGGCAACTCCACGGTGCAGATTGCTGGATGTTGACTGCTTGTAAGGTTCGCCGGCGAAGAGCTTCGTGCTGATCAACGAGTGGTTCGTGAAGCCATTGCGCAAAATGCAATGGCCCTGCAATTTGCCTCCGAGGCATGCGGAGCTGCACATCTTTCACGATTCAGTGCACTTGAGTTGTTACTGAGATGTAATGAGTGAAGTGAGTAGAGGCTTTGCTCTCCAAAAAGCGTGGCAGTACTCGAGCTCTTCCCTCAACGGTTTCTTACGAAAGGCCCGCACCCACCGAGTTTGCCGCAAAGGTCGAATTCCTTGTACAGCCAATGCTTTGGTTAATCTTGCCCTTCAAAAGCTCGAACAGACGAATCGTCCTGGCAGTGCCTGGCAGCGCCCCGCTCTCGACTTGTTTTGTCCCCCTAAACGTTATGCGGCCTCTCTGCATCGTGCGTGTGGTCTCCCAATGTCCAGAGGGTCGGGGTGGCGTTGTCCAAATCTTCAGCCTCTCGGGCCCTGCATGTTGGTCCGTGCTGCCTTGCGGTTGTGTTGTAAGGATGTGTGATATTGATAGCAGTGCTGTTCTGTGTGTCTTTCCAATCTTGGGCTGTGCTTGTCCGTTGCAGGTGCTGCGAGCCCGGCGGGACGTGGTTCTCATGGCTGTAGTCAGGAATGGGCACGCCCTGCAGCGCCCTGGCTCAGAAGGGAAGGGGCTCAAGCAGGCTCGCAAGTGGGGTTTCGGTAAACACTGACTTTCGCTACTGCGAGGTTTGCTTCTGAGGACTTGCAGCAGGACCGATCCGCCAGCGCAGTGTCTTTGCACGCTCGCTTCTGCTTCTTACTTCAGTTGTGGCTCTTCGGCATGCGCAACCATCCTTTGTTCGAAGTGGGCTCGTTCCGGGCAGAAGCACCATTCTTTCTCAACCTTTACGCAACAGCCTGAATCTGCAAGACACTTCGGCTGCGTGTCTTGACCATTGGGTCCGCCGAGCGGTGCTTCTTGCCGAAATGGGTTGAAAGAGTGACCTGACGCACGAAGAAGGAGACAGCTCTGAAGCCAGATCCCCCCCAAGAGGTGATTTCCTCCAAACAGTATGGTAGCAGCACGGGGTTCTTCCTTTCAGCATGAAGGGATAAGGTTGCTGTCCTCGCGAAACGCGAGCAGCATGCGTGGATTGCGGTTTTGCGGTTACCATTGTGACATTTTCCACCAACGTCGTGGTCTTTGCACATGCCCACGTCTCGCTAGATGCTGAGTTTTCCCCACAGCCGCGCTGATTTTGGCCTAACGCCCTTGAATGGCCACACTATTCACCTGAAAACCAGTGAAGCCAGAAGTTAATGGTTCGGGTTTGACCTACCCTGGACCTTCCAATAACACAATTAACACCGGTGTTGATGGGATTTGTCCAATGCCTTTTCTTTGTATCATACTAGCAGAATCTGCTTACAGGCCTGTGCAAATTGGCCACCTCATACCCCGCTAAATCATTACCTATTGGGACGGTTTGCCATCCGTATTGGTACACGCCAGCAATGTATTTGGGCTCATTTGGGCTCTATCAGGTTCGAGGTGAAGCTTCTCGATCGATTTGGCTTAGGGGAGCAAATGGTAGCAAGCTCCGATTCATGTGGATCTTCTTCAGTCCACCGTCGAGCTAGAGTAAGCATCACTTGCCATCCAAGAGTATGTCGATTGTTGAACTAGGTTACGACTAATTTACTTTCAGGTTGAGGATGTCAAGGCAAACTGTTAAATCAGACTTTAACTGTGGATCTTGGGAGCCATATCCGTACATTTCGGGGGTATCTTCTTTGATTCAGGTAGAGATAGCAAGCATCAGCGTGGATCCTGGAACTGCGTACTCAGAGCAGATTTGGACGGAATGTGAGCATGTCATGCGGCACAGTTAAATCATGATTTAACTGGTCATGTTGGGAGCCATGTCCAAACATGTAGTGGCGATCGCTCGATTGAGTCAGCTAGAGTTCCAGCAAGCACCAGTTGTTTGTGAGCGAGCTAGTCCGGTCCAGATCAGTCCAGTCTCGTCTCGGCTAGTCTTGTCTGGTCGAGTCTCAGAACCATCAAACCCCTGCTGTAGTTGTTGTTCGACTTGGGGGTGCAATAGCAGAAACAGTTAAATGGTGATTTAACTGTGCCGTTTGTGCAGAAGGCCCGGCATGGAGTAGAGCGTCTGGCAGCGTTCAAGGGCCAATTACATCAAAAGTTAATTGCGGCAGGCATAAGGGGTTCAAGACGGCCCGATGCCCGGCAACTAGCTCCAGAGCTAAGTTTCTTTATCTCTTGGATTCACTGCCCTCCCTGTTCTCCTTAAAGCTTGTTAACAGTTACGGCGCCTGTATGTGCCTATGCGTTTGTAGGCATTGCATGATGAGGATGTGTAGAGGCATGCGCGCGAAACCCAAGCGAGACCGCACTTTCAGGAAAATTGGCATGCAGGGCAGGTGCGCGAAAGACTAGAGCCTGAAGTAAACTCGGGGACCAACTGCGGTTTCGCCCACTGGGTTAAAAAGCTCGTTTTCGAGGAACTGAAACACGGAGATCCTGAGGGTAGGGGTTTAGGTGTAGCGTGTGGCGAAGAGTTCCTGTCCCAGAGGCCTTCAACCGCTGAAATCTGCAGCATCAAGTTCGAAAGCTGAAACATGGAAACCCTGAGGGCTAAGGTTGCATAGTGGGGTGTAGTGTTTAGGCAAGAGTTCCGTTGCGGCGCCTTGATGAGATGTCGTGAGAAGACAAGGGAACTGCAACGTCTTGATCGGAAATCGAAACTTGTGCTGTCATCTTCCGCCCCCCCACCACCCGCCCCAAACCCGGAAAAGCCCAGTAATCAAAAACCATCGGCAAGTAGAGGCGATGTCACCTTGTTGACGTGGTCTCGAAATCCCGTTGTTCTGGAGACCGCTGTAGCCGTTTCTGTTGTTCTAAGGGTTTCGGGAGCTTCGCGAAATCGGTTGAGTCGTGCTTCCCGCCACAGTGCCGTACATGTTGTGTTTGCTACCCCCAAATCGTGCTCCAGCCCCTTGCAAAATTGACCACAGTGCGGGCCATGTTCTGGCCTGCCTAGGCACTCTTTCATTGTTTGGGATCTACGTTGGCGCAGTTGTAGGGTTTTGTTGAGGGGAGGGTCCGTTTAGGAGGCTGTTTATGTCGGCGGTCTGGACGTTTCTATGCCACATGCAAAAGGACCACACCCTTGTGCTCACAGCAGCTCGTGGCTTGACCGCACAGGTTGTGATGGAAGCTTTAGGGTGGCAAGTTTGACATGACTGTGTTCATTGCTGCATATTGCTGCTAGGGCGTTTCCTCTTCGCTGACTGGAGCTGGTTCTTTCAAGACAAGGTGCCGTCTGAACTGCCGGGGATAAGCCACTTCGTGTCCCAAAGTGGCGAGGAGGCACAAGTCACTGACAGGCCATCAAGGATCAGCGCCACATTGCCATAGCTGCCGTCAGCATGGATGCCTCTGCTTTGCCACACACCGGACGGCAAGCTGACAAGGAGGTCAGACTCACGACGGGGAATGAGATGTAAAAGTTCTGAGATTCTTCTGGCCGATGCCAGGTGGTTCTGGCAGCGCTTCAGCAGGACGGCCAGATGCTGGAGTTTGCAAGCGAGGATCTGCAGGCCGCTGCGAAAAAGGTTCAGTTTCGCTTACACCATGTCATGTTTTATGCAGGCTTCTAACCTGATTCTCTGGAGAAACGAAGAACCAACAATGCTCATGATGCTCGGTATGAGGGTGTGGTCCGACTGTCCGTGTACTTGAGATGGGGTCAAAATTATCGTTAATGTAGTTTAGTGTAGAGGGTAGTTGTTGAGCCAGAACCCCCAAGATCGATAGGGGACGCGCTAAACCGATAGGGTTACTTATACTTTGGTCCCTGCAAGTGCCTTATGCGAATTCCTCGGAAAACGATAGGGGACGTGCTAGTTCAAAAACATAAGCAGCATGAACAACTGATTTTGACGCCGACTCGAAGACTTCTTAATGTTCGTACGGCTGTTCTCGCTGCTCCAGCTTGGCAGCATCTGCGCCACTCGAGCTTTCGTCCCCGTGGCCGAAGTGTCACCAGTTCTTGCACAGCATTTATGATGGTGCTCGATCAGTGCCTAAACCTCGGTCGCCCTAGCTGGCTTGAGCAAATCCGGACAACTGGGCATACTTTCTGGAAGTACTTGCAGGTCCGCAATAATAGCAGTAACAGTGCAGCTGCTCGAAACAGCAAAGCTGCAGGCGGACCCGAGTGTGGTGCTGGTGGCAGTAGCTTCGGACGGCACCGCGCTCCGCTTCGCTTCAAACGCGCTGCGGGGCTGTCGCAAGGCGTGGCGTCCATGCTCGAGCTATGTGACACAAGAAGGGACGGCAGTGCCTGTTCCAGGTCGTTTCGGTGGCCGTTCGGCAGAATGGTCTGGCGCTGCAGTTTGCAGAGCATAGCCTGCGGTGTGATTCCGAGCTCCTGAGACTTGCTGCTCGGAGGCCAGGATTGTGGTTATGTAGGACATTGTAGGACTAAGCAAGAGTTCATGGAACAGTCGGAGTTATTCCAGAGGGATGCATACGTCGAAACGTGGGAGTATGTCAGGTGGTGGTCCTGTGACTGGAGCTACTTATTCGCCGCCGCGACCTCGGTGTCATAATGAGCCTGTACAACCTTTGCCTCGCATCAATCTATGGGTGGAGGGCCCGCGCAAGCACTACAAGGCCTTTGTGACGCAGACGGAGTTTCCTAATAAGGTCAGTTGGCCCACCGTGTTGCAATGGAACAGCCGTGCGCATTCGGACTTGTGCTTGTCGACTCCTTGCCGTTCTCAGTTCTCCTATTATCGGTTGGGTTGGTCTGGAATAGGAGGGCTACACTTCTGCATGAGATCTGCATGCCTGCTTCTCTCTTTGATATCGGCGATCGCCGTGGCCATTTTGGCGCAAAGCGATCGCCACCAGATCTGGGAAAGATCTTTTTGT